TCCCAAGCGGGTGCCTGCAGGAGCCGCTTTGGGTTCGTGAGTTGGGATCAGCGATGAAAACGTGCCCTGAAAGCTCACGTACCTATGTGGTAGCATACTTGCCCTACGGCCCTACGAAATATATACAATCATTTAAGCAAGCAGGGGGTTTATGGCTCGCGTGGTGTGACCTAGTGCTTTTTGGCTCCGGCAGGATGGGCCAGGCTGCACTGACAACAAACAATAGACCCCACACGACACCATGTCACATGCAGTGTGCTCGGACACGTCTGCAAAATAAGGAAACGTAGAGGGATCCGGCTAGCAGGGACAGCTTTACATCCCTACCTTGGGCGCAAGAAATGTCGTTTGCAGCAAGAGGACTTGACTCAACACGAACCGATCGTCTGTGTGAGGGCCCTCTGACACGAGAAGAGGCGCGACCGTGACGCCTGGTTCAGGCGCTCGGGACCACGGTTCAGAGCAAGGCTTAGGATTGCCCTGGTCGTTTTCCCAACACTCGGCAGAGATTAAACGTGGAGGCTTTGCAAAGAGTCCTGTCTAGTCTTGCCACGCTTCTCTACGATTCAGCTGGCCTTGTGTACAGATTCTTGCAGGCTTCAAGATTGCTAGCCCTTCCACAGGGGGTGATCTAAAAACGTTCCACTAAACGGCAGCATGGGACGATGTATGCCATACCTGCCTAGTTCAAAGCCCCTGATGCAATGCACAACACACAACCCTAGGATACTCGAACATGTTCAACAACGGATCTCAGTAACCTGCTGTAGCTCAATACGATGACATCTGCCAAAGCATCTTGATTACGATTCAACCATTTGTTTCGTACTGACTGGCTACCACCTGCACAGCCGATGCCCACTTAGTTTTGGTATCAGCTGCACACAGGGCCAGGCACTGCGGCAATTCGGGGTGTCGCCCCCGCCTCGAGACTTGCTTCCGTTGAAACCTTTAGCTCTTGAAGCTGGAACTGTGTACGATTCTGCTTTGCTACAGACTCGGAGGCGACTCACGGGGTGCCCCGCTGCTCGATGTTGCCTGACCATGATGCTTCACGATTCATGCTTTTGGGCTGGCATTCAAGCTTCGTCTTTCGGGTTCAAGGAGTTGGGGTTCCAGGGCATGCTCTCTAGAGGGGTTCAACTTGCGGTTTGGCAATGGCTAGGTCTAGGGATTGAAACAGGATTTTGGAGCCCGCACGGGTACCTGCACAGGCGTGTGCTTGGGAGAGCAGGACAAGCTTCAAGCGAATAGGTATATGGGAATGCATAGATCCCACCACACCTGAACCCTAAAACCCTAAACCGAACCCGTCGGCGCAGGGTAGTTCAACTCCTCTCAGCAAGGTATCTGACAAGGTTTCAACGGGCTTCGCTTCCAGTTCGAGCCCTGGCGCATCGGCAGAGTCGCACGATCTGTAGGCCAAGAACCTGCGCGTAAGGTAGGCTTGCTTGGATTTGCTGGTCGGTCTTAAGCACGCCTTTCGGGAGTCGCTCGTCAAGCTGGGTCCATTCGAGAAGCACTTTTCTGAACGAACTAGCAGGGAATGTATGCTTTCCAAGAACTCTCCCTTGCGGCTCTTGAGTGCGATCAGCCTTGCTGCAACCAGCATTTCCACCAGCACTTTGCCTGACTTCGCGTGGCTTGAGGATCTTGGGCTTGAAGGCTGTCGCAGAAGTCAGCTTAGTCTGGATCTCGTGTGAAGCTTCATGTGACATGATGTTACCATGGTTTCTCTAGGATCATCTGCAGGCATGCTTAACCCAACAACATCATCAGAGGCCGTCGAGGATAAGTCGGGCGAAGAATCCTCGACTCAACCAGGCCCTAAAGGCTTCCATTACTCCAGGCCAAACTCCCCAAATAGAACTTTTAAAACAAAACGCCTGACAATGCCTTTGCGTATAGATTTATGGCCACCTCCCTCAAACCCTTAAACCAGAATAGAACCCTGAACCCATAGGTGAGCGGCAGCTGAGAAAGGGCTGGTACTGGTTCTCCACGCTGGGCTGCTCTGGATCCTGCCCTTGGCGGTTGAAGTGAGGTGCCGAGTCCATCGGAGGATGACGGAACTGCTTATCAGCTGTATTCGTAGCTCCTCGGTGCTTCTAAGAGTTTGAGAAATCCTGTTGCATAATTATTGTCAGTAATGTCAGTAACTTATGTATATGGTTCGCTGCGATGAGGAGATTAAGAATCTTTCAAAGCTTTCCGCAGTGCAGGCGGAGACTTCGTGTCCTTAAGTCCGGTCGGCACGAGATGAGGGCCGTTCTTTCAACCTCTATAGGACTCTATAGATTTGGAGCTGGAGCTACCACTGTTCCGCTCGGCCTATGAAACAGAGGTCAAGCGTCGACCGCTAAGATGATCCCAACGGAGCATGAATCCTACTTCCCCTGGCTCTTCACCTGCCAGGGCTTCTACCTCTTGCGCGAGGCCTTGAAACGTTCCTAATCCGAATGCTCTGAGTAGGTTCATCCGAAAGCCGACGGAATCACAAAGGAGCCGTGAGCATAAGGCAATTCTTTCTGTCGTTCCCTGTCCTACAGCTTCCCTGCCTCGGAACTCCTCCGCACGCTCCTCGTCGTAGAAAACGAGGTGTGCATCGTGGGAGGTCATGTTGGCCTGAGACACGAAGCCGACCCGAAATCTGGAAACGACTCGGCCTGACAATGCCCAACAAACAGCAAAAGACACGTGAAGATGGCAATGCAGACACTGGCGAAACGAATGATGAGCTGATGAGCTGAAGCTGGAGATGAAGATAAAGACGAACAGGAAAAGGGCACAGGCATGGAGATGAAGTGGAAAGTGCAGATGCGAAGATGATGAACATGAAGACAGTGACGGAAACATAGACGGTGATGATGCTGGAGACACCTACTCCTACTCCTACTGCTACTGGTACGACGACGACTAGCACCAGCAACAACTACTACTGACCACTTTTCATGGTGATACTCTTAAATCTGTTGTGCGACTGCTTTTTGTTCACGCCTGCACCCACCTGAAGATGCAACTTCGGTCGATGAGCCGGTCGGAGTTCGAGGTCTGCGTCGCACCGCACTTACTTCACAAAGCGGGGACTTACACTTCGAGTCGTTTGTGAATTGTGAAGTTCAGGGCTTCCGATTCGAAGGCTTCTGCCGAACGGCTGGAGAATTCAACTCTACGCTGCGCGACACGAGATGCTTTGGGCAGAGCCCTTTGGAGAGGCCAGGGCATGGATCCCGGTCAGAGCTGGAGGGCTTTGGTTGAGGAGGCCTTGCCTCCAACTTGAGTTCTTCCGGGATTTTAAGTTGAGGCCATGGCTTCTCCAGAGTCCTTCATGGCTTCGGGCTCAGGGTCGACGAGTTTAGGGTTTAGGGTTTAGTGCTTAGTGCTTAGGGCTTAGGGTTTAGGGTGTAGGGTATCCCAGTAACAGTAGTCTCAGGATTCCGACATGCGGCTTCGGTGGACAAAAGCTCTCCACTCAACACCCAAGCTGCGAAAAGCAACTACATGGATCGAAGGTTTCAGCTTTGGAGTTTAGGGTTTAGGGTGTTAAGGTTTAGTGCTAAGGGGCTCAGGCAAACCAAAAGAACAAGTATTACACAATGATTGAGCAAGATGGATTGGTGGCTTAACAAGCCGTGTCCCTTGAGCACGGCCTGGTTGTTGATGTCAGCCAACAGTGTCTGCAGCCATTCGCGCACGCAGAGATCCTTCCATGGATGTTGTCAGTTTCCCCGACGCACCCTATCCAAGTTGACGGGGGTGATGTTTTGGCTTGGGGATTCAAAAGTTTACGCAGTTTAGGCGAAGCCGCACATGCGGCCGAGTAAAGACATGCAGCTCACAGCCCCGTTAGAGGTAAAAGAAACTTCCTGAACGCAGCTTCAGCAACGAGCCATGATGTCATCCACGGGAAACAAGCTGGAAGGGACTGTCTCAGGCCTGCTGCAGCGTAGACAGGAGCCGTTTCTGGCCGCCTTTCTTTAGCGTCTTCTTGATCTCCACCTTCACCTCCAGCGGCTCCAGGCAGGATGCCGCCTAGATCACTTAGGCTTCGCGGTATTTACGGGCGCTGCCCCTACAGACTTCTGCTAACCTCAAAGATTCCTCAGGACTGGACAATCAGGCTTCCAAGGCTTCAGATCCCGAATACCAGGCTGTAAGGACTTCAGACCCCAGAAGTTCTCCTACCTCCGCAGGCCGTCGAAAGCTTACGGGGCTTTAGGGTTTCGGACTGCGGGTGTGCGACTTATATACTAGCAAGATTTAGGCTTCTTTGGAGGTCCGGCCCAGCGACTCTGGAACCTTGACTTCGAAGTCTGAACCCAAGCCCTCTAGAGCAGTTGACTCGAAGAGCGGGACTTCAGCGCAAGCTCAGCACTCCTGAACCCCAAAAGAAGTTCCAACAAAGAGGCTTTTTGCTGAAGAGGAGCTACCTAAACCCCTACAAACCCCTAAACCCTTGAACCCCTAAACCCCTAAACCCCTAAACCCCCGAACCCTATCGGTTCTAGATCGGCCCGGGGCCTGGGGCAGGAAACGATCGCTCTGGGCCGCTGCAAGGCCGTCCAGTCCGAAGCTCTCCCCGACACAGTCCTGGGAAGCTCTGAAGACTTCAAGGGTAGCTTTCCAAACTAAGGGTCCCTTTTAGGGTCCACTTTAGTACTATGCTGGAGGCCTAAAAGGGGACCCTAAGTTAGAGAACTACCCTTAAGAGGGTGTGAAAAATGTGATTTGAAGTTGAGGGCCGTTCCGGGTTGCAAGGTTGAGTTTAAGGTTTGGGGTCTACAAGGATCGAAATCCAAAATGCCTCCGTGCATCGACACTCCGCAGAAAAGGCCCGAAAGATCTCTTCTACGGTTCTTGCACCACATGGTCATAGTCCAGCTCTATGCGCTCTTCTCCTTCAACATCGAAGTCACGAGTGAAGGTTTAGGCTGACAGGGGAAGATATGGCTATCGGGTCTGAGCGCAAAGCTAGACCACGAAGTTCCGCAAGATATTGGCTAGCACCGTGGCCTACGCTCCTAAGTCTCGTTTGCTCAAAGCTGTTGTCGGCTGTTGTGATATCAAAGCCTTGAACTTGCGATTTCCGCCTGCACTGGATAACTGGCTTGCGGCTAGAGCACGAGGTAGCCGCTGAGGAGGTGTGGTCGCTGCTGCCATGGCTGAACCTTACAATGACAGCATGCAACATTCCGGGAAGCATATCAGGGCTTCGGAGATTGAAGACCTGAGGTTGGTGGGGCTGTCAGCTGCTGATACCTATCGTAACTCTACAAGGCATTGTGACACTTCACCCGGCCAGCGTAAACACTTCGTGATGACTTGAGGTCTATCGACGATGTTTGCAAGCTCGCGCTGTTCGATCTAGAATCCATGCAAGGAGTTCGGTGGCCTCTTCCTTCGAATCTGACACTTCGCATCTGAAGAAATGGACCCTCCCACACACTCGAACCCTGCCGAGCCCAGAGATCAACTTGAGCAGCGCCTGGGGCGCTTTCAGCTCTGACCCTAAGCCTTAAACCCTGCGACCTCGGTGTGGTCCTTGTCGCAGCACTCGTGCTTCATGCTGATGAAGCGATTCAAGGCGCCCTCCTTCCTGAGGCGCATGAAGGACAGATCTTGGAGCTTGGACTATACTAAACTTTCTAGGGCAACAAAGGAAATCTGGCTCTTCCTCCTTGTTTATGTACCTTAGAGTACTGCATGCTGAGATTTCGTGTAAATTGCCTCTGCGTGCTCAGGTCGAGGTTCAGGCTGTCGGCCTCGGGGGGTTTTAAGGTGTCGTATGGGTAGTCCACGGAGCAGAACAGTGTGACTTATACGACATCTCCGGGAAGGCAACGAAGCAGCACATTAGGCCGTTGAACACTGTCCGCAACAACCACATTCCATGCAAAGGCCTCGAAGTCGAAAGATTTTGTGGAGGTCTGTGGCGAACTTTCGAGGCTCAATCAGCCTTCAATCCGAAACCCCAAGGTGAAACCCTAAAACCTCAGAACCAAAAACTCCGAAACCCCACATCCAAAGGCACCAAACTGCCTAAACCCTAAACCCTAAAACCCCAAACCCTAACTGCCTTTGCGCCACCTCAATGCAGCTTAGGCGGCTGCCTCAGCAGCGAATACTTCAACTGGGACTCGAAGGTCTCATTCTGCGCCGTCAAGTCCCCGAAGATGCGCAAGATCTCTCCTCAAATTAGGCTTTAGGGGGTTTAGGGCTTATTATAGTATAGGGTTTAGGGGGTTTAGGGTTCATTGTAGTATAGGGTTTAGGGGGTTTAGGGTTCATTATAGAAGAGGGTTTAGGGGTTTAGTGTTCATTACAGTATAGGGCTCAGGGGGTTTAGGGAGTTTAGGGAGTTTAGGGTCCACGGGTCAGAACGCAAGGTTAGGTAGATAAGACTTCGTTTTCTTGCCTGTACCATGCTTGACTGCCAAAGTGAAGTACACGGTTCCAAATCCAAAGAAGGTGGGTTCGCAATGTCACGTTCAAGTTGCATGGCATCTTTTCATGATTAATACAGAATGCACTCGGCAACTGCGAACCCTGATGAAAAGGCTGACAGAGGCTTTCATACTTGCGGTGTTCATCCGTTTGATCAGGCACTCGAACTCCTGTTGGGCCGTGTGTGTGTGTGTGTCTCTGTGTGTGTGTGTGTGTGTCTGTGTGTGTGTGTGTTTGCGTTTGTTTCGGGGCGATCAAAAAAGTCTTGGAAGCTGTTCTGTCATGTTTCTGCCGTCCCTAATGTCGTCTTGTTCCAAAAAAACAACTGAACACTGAAGTTTGGAAGAAGCTTCGCAGCTTGTTGCAGCACCTGTTTTTCTGTTCAAAGCGCATTGGGTACTCGGGAAACTGAACTTCCGAATCTGTAGTTTAGAGGCTAGGTCTGTTCTGTATAAAAGCAGGTTTGGGCCAGCCTGGAAACTCATTCAGCCGCGCACTGTTAAAAGGATGAGGACAATCTGAATACCGGAACACACTGATTCGAAATCTGGCCATCTGTTTCGGCGGCTCTGATGAATCCGGAAACGAATCATCGTTTTCTTCTTTTCTTCCATGAACAACACGGAGCCGGAAACGAGGTGAATTTCACAAACAAAGCATAACATAACAAAACATCAAACATAATTACCTGCGCAGGCATGTACTACAGCACTTTTGCTTGGCAGAAAACAAACTGTAGTAGATGCACTGCAGCAGTACCACCATGCAGTGGCACGACAAGGTTCAGACAACTCCGGACCTAGAAGAGGAGATGGCTTAGCGTCAAAACAAGTTTCTGGAGAACATGGTGGCGAAGAAGGACTTGCCAAGAGCCAAACATGCTAAGCGTCTGCCGACGACACCAAGCCCACACCGACACAAGTGCACGGCTTTAGGCTGAGTGAAAATACAAGGGATCCATGTCTGCAACTTCAGGCAGGGCACGTGCTTGGACCTGCTGGCAATCTTGGCACGCCTCTGCATGCGAATGCAATCTGCGTGACAAAGAAAGAACCAAGGGTCCAAAAGAATAGCTTGTGGAACTCTCCGGATTTGGCTTTGGTGTTCAGGATACGGGTTTCGGGCCCACACGACCCTGCGACAGCCTGCGGACCCCATGCTTTCGGCCTCCGCCAGGGTGCGAAGGATGCGAACCCGCTTGGGATCCTCGTGGTTCATTCCAGGGGCATCATGCTTTGGCTTCAAACCATGATTTTGCGGCGTCAAACTCTTGTGTTTCGAGCTGTGGCCCGTGCATTCATGGCTTGGGGTTTGGAGCTGTAGTGTGCAGGGTTTAACGGTTTAGGGCTCTATAGGGCTTTATTGTTTAGTGAGCTTGGGGTTCTAGTGTTTGCGTGGTAGCAGCTCAGAGGTGCAATGGGGCGTTAGGGTCGATGGTGCACGCATTGCAATGTAGGCTATGCGCCTGCGGGGGCTTGCTTTGCTGGGGCCACGGCTCTACCCAGGTTTGGGATTCGAGCGGGGTTGAAAGCCCGAAAGGCACAGCAACTAAAGTTGGATCGGCTTCGTTGGTGCAGAATTCAAGAGGCACTGTAGAGCTATCTCTGCGTGTTTGGTTTGTCTCCTCTGCACCCAACGGCCGGATGGTGGCAAAGATGTGGCGGAAAGCCGGAACGATCTCCTGTGAAGCCAGCGAGCTCTCCCAGTTTGCCCGCATGATCTGCTTCTTCGAGTACTCCGACAACTACAGACGTTCGGAGCAGGTGTGTTTCAGTTTCGTCTCGATGCTTTGCCGTTTGATTTAGGGTTTGGGGCTTCTGCCGCAGAGTCCAGGAGCTGGAGTTAGAGAAAGGCGTGGTCAGGGAAGACTTGAGCAAAGATGAAGGGAGACAGGTTCTTTCCAACGCTGAGATCCTGAGCAATGCCGGAGGGCATCGACCGGCACGTCACAGCATGCAGTTCTCCGTTAGGAGTTAGGATCAGGGCGACCTTGGGGAAATAGACCCTCCCAATAAGGTCCCGTTTGAGAGCGCCATAAGTCGGGTTAAGAAGGCTCCCCCTTGCTAATAGTACTAGGATCCATGCAAGGCCTGCCGGGTCGTGTCTTCTCGGCCAGCCAGGCTTGAATCGCAAGGGACGTTCGGCGAAGGCTTTCATGCGTGGGACTCTTGCGAAGCTTTGCATGATTGTTTCCAGGCAGGCAAGGCAAGTGCACCTCCGGCACATGCATGTGCCACACATAACATCCACATTAATGATTAATCCATCCACACCGGCATTTTGTACATAAGTTTACGACAGATGGGTGGATAGAGTGTTGCATGGATAGTATCCGCGGGTCGTTGCCGAGTCGGGTCTGTCGTTTCGCTCTTTAAACTGTCCTCTTGTCTCTGTCCCTGTCCCTGTCTTGCCGGCGACTCTGGCATAATTACGGATCATGGGACCTGCTTTTCAGTCCTTGTTAGCCGGAGCAGAGGGTGGGCCAAGCATCCACAATCCCTGCATGTAGCCTCAGCTCTATGACGAGGGACTTCGAGATTGAGGAGTTGGGCGCGCCGCAAAGGAATGCGGGCTTAGGGCCCAGGGCAAGACTTATTCGGATTGAAGTTCAGCAGATCGGAGTTGACTGCTTGTTTGGCTTATGGTTTGAGGTGTTGTGGCCTTGAGGGCCCAGCCACAAGCAAACCCAGCCACGAGATTTGACCTCCAGCCCTCCCGGCCATGTTCAACCTCCCGAATCCAAAGCTGGCCCTGATGCCCTCATCCCCTACCGCTGCATTGCCAGAATACAACATGTGAGCACGACCCTTCTTGCTTGAGACTCCGGGCCCGGCCCTTGGGTCGGCCGCCACAGAGGACCAAACGGATCTGATCATTGAAGTCACAGAAGAAGATGGCAGGAGAACTCTAGTAAGGTGTTGATGCAACGTTCGTCCCAAGGAATGCCTGCAACGCATTTTCCGCCTTAGCTCCTGGGTCAAGGGAGTCTAGGGGGACTCTACAAGTGTCCTGAAGCCTTGAGCCTTATGCTCAACTGTCAACTCTGAGACACCGGAGGCTGCCAATTTGTGAGCCGGGCGGCAATCTGAGAGCATGTCCAGCACCCGCTTCTGCCCTCGCTCCCCTTTCCATGTCTCCACACCTTGCAGCTTGGTTTCAACAAACCCAAGATCTTGGAGATGGGGAGTGACATTGCGGTGTTAAACTTCGAACCCAAGGTTGCTCTGTAGAGTCGCCGAATGCGACTCTTGATTCTCAGCTGCATGGAAAAAAGAAGGGGCTCAACGGGTTTCCTTGCAAGATCGCTGCCACCAGAACGCCCTTCACAGGCCATGAAAACGAAACCGGGTGAAGAAATGGCGGGGGTTCGAACAGAGCCGGTGTTCTCTCAAATAGCCCTGCTAGCCCGATGCTCAAGTGAAGGTTACAGCTCTTGTCTTCAAGGTTTTTGGTTCGGCCGAAGCTCCCTGATAGGACCGATGGAATCACTCAACTGCCCAACCTTGACGCCCCATGAGCTGAATCCAATGACGAGGTTGCTGCCCGCTGAACTCACAGCCGGGTTGCCGGGCACCGAGGCTCGAGTCATCCTCGCTGCAGAAGCAAATGTAGATCCCAAATGTATTCGGATCCTGGTTATAAAGAACCCCATTGGCCCCACTAGGTATCCCGAATTCTCACATGTTATGGGGCCATAGCGATGGCTTCGGGTTTCAAGGACAGGCAACTGGAACTCCCAGAGATGAAAGCGACCGTCGCGAAGTCGATTTGACGCATCCCAGACCCCAGCCACTGAAAAACTGCGAAACGTATCCCGGATCGCTCCTTCAGCCCTAGACTCCACTGTACTCCACACCCCCACACACGAATAAATCGAAAAGCCTCAAGCTGTCCACCCGACCATTGCAGCCAAAGGACTCGGGCACCCTCGCGTGAAGGTCAGGGTCCTGGCGAACCCGCACCTTGTTTTCTGGCTCTTCGAGCGTTAGCTTTGGCGTTCGCGATTGCTCGGGCAAGCCGGAACATCTGTTGCATGACGGACCTACACCACTGGCATAATAGTGGCCCGCATTGAGAAACACCCGAATCCAGAGAAAACACTGCTAGCTGCCGCTTCTAACCCTGCAATGCTCTAGACTCTAGTCGCACATCGCATCCCTGCCAAAGAATCACAACGAACCAAAAGCATAAGAGGTCTGCTGTCGTTGATGATGACTGCAACAACTGCTACTTCTAAAGAAATGATGAACGAGCATCAAAACGGAGGTTTGAATCAGTAGCACCTTCACAGGCAAAACCACAAAGCCTGACATGGCTCTGACTCGCTCTAAACCCTTGATGCACTTGACCCTTGGCATGTGCAGAATCCAGCTAAGCTTCAGGTCTCCGTCGCGGTACCAACACAATTTAGAGTTCGTTGTTGCACTATAACATACCTCAAAACCCTGTTCCAATTGTTAAGGCCCCTCTTCTGCGGCGCAGCTAAGATGCAAATCTCCAGTGTGCTAAGTACACTGCACTATAACATACTATAGTACATCATAGTACATAACCCGTATAAACCTTTGTAACCCGTTTAACCCTCATAACCCTTATTCAATTCCCTAAGATCCTAAAACAAGAAGAACTACTCTGAGGCAGACAAAACTAGGGCCCGACTTCTGAAAGGCCCTTTCAAGACGAGTAGTTTCTGCGAAGTTTGTCCAGGAAAGAACGACTTTCACGAGCACTCCTGTCGGGCGTGCCAGCAATCACACCATTGACAGCACTGCTTGCTTGGACTTGGCCACGGTCAGGCGTGCTCGGATCACCCCGTGTCTTTCATTTTCCTTCATCACTTCAGCATGTTGCTCACTTCGAGCAGGAACAGGTTCATGTACTTCACACGGATCCCCTTCTGGTAGGTGCTGGCACGACACGTCTTTGCCGTTCGAAGACCACATCGGCGAGGTTCTCTACGGTACAGGACCTGGCCGATGTGGTTTTCGAACGGCAAAGACGTGTCGGGGGTAGGCTCCAGTGCTTCAGCGACTGAGTCAATCACGGCGTGCTCCAGCATCACGCCCCTTTTGCACGCTTTCTTCTTCTTCTCCTGTTCCACAAGGTTTGCCAAAACGCTCTTGGGAGAAACCTGCTTGCGTTTTTTCACACCCCCTTCGCTGTGGGGCTTGTCGGCATAGAACGTCTCCACCAGAGGCCCCAAGCTATTATAGTATATATACTATGTTTTAATGTGTTATAGTGTGTTATACTTTGTGCCAAGATGCAGGTTTCCGCCGCAGTGGGCCAAAGGATGCAGAGGCGAACTCCAGCCGTGGAGCGAAAGTGTCCACGCCGAGGGAGCTGGCCTCCGAAATTCACCCAGAAGGACGAGTTTTATACCATTTACTAGAGAAAACTGTACGAATAGCTCAGTTGCTTTCTGGTGCAGAACCCTAAACTGTAAGCCCGAAAAACTTCCAAAGCCCCGAAAACTTCACATCGTCAAGCCAAGAGTCGGTTTCTGAGGATGCTGCAGCTGCAGAAGCGTCCCTGTCCGCGGGCAGCGCGAGCACCGCTTCGCCGACCTCGTCGACCAGACTCCTGGCTGTCGGGTTCAGAGGGCTTTTCGGTTCGGGAAGAGTGTTGGCACTCGGTTCGCACAACGGATGTCTCCACTTGGGCACGGTGGGGAGCCTAGAGCGATTAAGATATGAAGCCCTGCCCGGCAAAACGCCACGAAACCTTGGCCCTGAACTCCGAAACTCCGAAGCGCCTTGAAATCTTTGAACCCAGCAGCGCCCACTTCACCCGAGCCTGCCGGAGTCTTCTTCCAAGCTCCCGCAACGCCTCCGCTTCTTCGGGGGGCTTCCGCTCGGGCTTCGACTCGCTCGCGCCGAGGTCTCTGGGACATGTCCAGCCTCAGGGTCTTGTTCAGAAGTTTCGGCGGCCGAGGGATGTTCAGGGCTTTGGGGTACTAGCAGCCTTGTGCCTACTTGCACCACACCAAGCAGCAAGAGACCGATGTCTACAGCCCATGACCATTACCATACTCCCGGAACAGGTGCAATTGCTGCAAGAGCTCAGTCTACGATCTGCTCTTTGCCATCAAGCTTTGAGGTTTCCAGGCTTCCGAGTCGAGCACTTGGGGCCTCGACAATCTCAGGCGGTGTCTTCGGTGCAGCCGGCGGCTGGTGGTCTTCCACCTTACGGGAGGCACTGCTTCCTTTTGGATTCTCAGCGCTCGGAGTTGGCGTGCACAAAATCACTGAAGCATAGCAGCCATGATCCCGATTGCCCCTCGCGGAGTTTAGCATGGAACGTTGGAGCCGTGTGCTTACGATCTGCTCGGGCCTCAAGAACTTCAGGCGGTGTCCTTGGTGTGGCGGGATGGTAGCCCTCGACCTGCCAGGAGGATGGATCAAACAACACAATCCCCGGTCCCCGTCACGAAGATGTTTAGGGTACAAGCCCGGAAGACTGAAAGGCCTATGATCTTTTGCGCAGCAGGTTAGGCTTGTGGGGGCTTCCCCAAAGTCTCCAACCACCTTGCAACTCTTTGCGATGATGTGCTGGCTCCTTGCGGGCCCGCGCCTCCACCTCCTGTTCTTGAAGCAGCGCCTCCGCCGCAGCTTCTACGTCGCCACGGTGCCTTGGCCAGCAGCACGCTCGTCGAATTTAATGCTCCTAGTCTTAGTTCGCCGGAATAACGGCCGTACCTTGTGCATGTGCGACAAGTTCGACACCCGACTAAAGCCAAAACGGTACGACGAAGCGAGGACTCATCTTTTTGGATGGAAGGAAGCGCATC